AGATTTGCCCACCAAGGAAAATGCAGCATCTCTGTAAATTCAAGGGAAGGGCACACGACAGAGAGACCCTCTCTGGAAGGGATGTGAAGGCTTCATTCTCATAATTTACTCTGCTATCCAAAAATCAGAGAGCCATAATACATCTTCTGACACTCACTAAAAGCAGTATTGAAAGCTTAAAAAATGTGGGAGAAAAAGACCCATTACACTTCTCACTGCCTATGTTCAGTATGTGGGGTTTCCAGACTTTTTGAACAAACAGATCCCTTCGGTTGCAATATACCTCCTGTATCTGCCTCATCATCATGTCAGTGGTTCAGGACTTCATTAATTAATTAATTAATTAAAAAATAGAATAAGCAATACAATTCTATGGATAAGCTGCTGGGAAACACTGCTCTACACTGCAAATATTGAAAATGCTAGCACAAGGGATTGTGTTTTAAGCCCCGAGGATTAATACATATTTCAATTATTTGAAACTTTTTTCCCATGATAGTAAGTAGTGTCTAATTAATACAAATATAGAATTCTATAGTAAGCATACAGTTAATTCAATGGCCAACTCTCCTGACTCAGAAGGTCTCTTTTCAGGGCAGGCTTCTTTGTAACAGTTATATAAAGTAATGTGCACAGAGAAAACCCTAAGTTTACCTAAGAGTTATAACTTCTGCACTTGCTATTAAAGGCAGGAGATGGAATCTACAGTCATAGAAGTTCAGTAAAAATAACAATTCAGTAATCTGCAAAAATTAACATATTGTATAAATCACTGGTGATGCCTATACGTTGAATCCTGTGGGTTCTTCAGGCTTTCCTACCTAAAAAAGGAGATAAAACAAAAAAGAAAAGAACAAAGAAAGTTGGTGATGACCAAAGACGGGCCTTTAGTCTGATCCAATATGGCCAAGGTGGCTGTTTGATATAGAAAACACACAACCACGAGTCAAAACTCCAAACATTTATCATTAAAATCATCCATATTTTAAATGGATTAATCTACCTAGTCATTCAGACCCTGCCCTATAGGCTAGTTCAAAGTTAACTGCAGTCCTTGGCATCTCGAGCAAGGGAATTAAAAGAAAAAATATACCATTTCTGTGTTTCCCAAGGCTTTGAGGAATTTAAAACAAATACAAAAAACCATGCTGAAAGCCCTAAGGAGAAGGACTTGGGGGTCTTGCTTCATATGAAGCTCAACATGAGCTGGCAATGTGCACTTGCAGTCCCTTTTTACCCCAACCTTTCTGTGATTCTATGTTTGTATGAAAGCAAGTGCTGTGACATACACTACCTATTATCTGTTTCTACTTAACAAAGAGAACGACGTAAAACAAACAAAAGCAGAAAAGAAAGGCAGAAGCAGTTTTAAGAAATGCAGAGCCAGAAGCTCTAACTGTCCTCTCTTCTATGCCAGTGGAAATGAGAGGGGATGTCATTCAGTGTTTTACAAAATTACATGCAGCACAGAATAGAATAGAATTCAAATAGGTGACTGAAGATTGCCTGACTGAGCTAAACACGAGTTCCTATCCTGTAAATTAAGTAGCTTTTCTCTGCAGACAATAATGAAACTGTGGACATTTAGACCCCTTACAGGATAAGGTCTTTGAGCTGGAAATGCCATTAATGTAAACCTGTCATTCTCCTTTGGGTTCTCTGAATCCTGGTGAGGATTGTCAGACCACTGAAACCATACTATGAAATGACAAAACCAACAAAGACTCCTGTCTCTAAATGTCCACTTCAGTAAAATACCATCCATGTTTAAAACACTTGAAAAAGCATTTTAAATTATTTCTGAGTCATGTGAATTTTATTTCCTTTTTCATTAGTAGTATTTTCATGAAAGCAGTTCTTGTGACGTCTATTTCAAGGACAACAGAATCTCTACACCAAAGATCTCATAAACGCTTTCCAAAGAAACATCTTTCTTGCTACATACGCATGTTAAGAACTGACAGATAAGTAATCAATGTATCTTAAATGCAACAAGAAATACAATTAACTTTGTATAACTGATTTAGGATGATGCAGAAGTGAGTGACTATGCTTTTAGAGTTTAACTCACAGCACCTTACAATTAGGTGGTAGATAGTTAATTGTTTGATCTGTTTCATTTCTTAAATTAAACTCGTCCCAATCATATTATTTTCTCCAAATCTTACACAAATTGAAATGAACTTAGAGAAATTATAACTGCTTCAAATTTTCAAATCTAGCAAAGCCACTGAAGTTTACCACAAATTAAGATGAAACAAAGAGACTTCATAGTCCTGGGAACGATGCAGTCAGTCATGTTGCTCTGCACTAACGTTACATTAATGTTGGATCCCCCACAAACAGCAGAGCAATGAACTCCAAACCATTTCTGTCTTCAGGACTGACAATACTAGGTTTGTGTTCAGTGTCTGAACATCAAGAACAACATTTTCCAGTTAGGTTTTAGCCACATTGTTTTCCCCTAAAATTGAAGCCACAATCTTAACATTTCACAAGATGCTTTGAAAAGTACCCACATCCTCAATGACCTTTGCTGTAAGAAGGACTAATAAAGACAGAAACTGTATAAAAACATCATGCGACTATGACTCACATGTGAAACCTACGATGGAGCACGCAGCCTTTTAATCTAGTACGCTAGTTTTAATCTTCACCCTAGTTTTATGCCAGTTTGGGACACCAGTGGAGTCACCTTTCCTTGGTCTTAATGCTCTGTTCTTGCCCACAGCACCATGAAACTTCCTTGGCATCAGAGTAGCATGCTACTGAAGTCTCAGTAATACAGAAATCACTATCACAAAAATATTTTAGGTCACTATTTTGATGCAGAACTGGTTACTTCACTGCTATGCAAACACCCAAGAGCAGAAAATGCTATTCTATTATTTTTCCATCTATGTCCATACATTTTAGCTAAATTACATTATAAGGTTCTACAGGGATTAGTCCTATTAGCAACTGGTTCAATGGTGGTACAAGGAGTAGAAGACTAGATAAAAGAATAGAGGCAGAAACTTCTCCCTCTTACTGATTTAATTTGAGCAGATTTCCACTCTTCTAAGATGCTATGATATTGCCTGGGCAGCTGCAGATATTTCAAAAATTAAAAATGAGGAAGTACAATATGTCTGCAATTCATAAATAATTTTGATGCATCAAGTAGGAGATATTTATCTCCAGTTAAGAAACAGAACCCTCACCTGTACACAGTACCTGTCATGATGGAAGAGTGAGATATAGACAATACACCTTTAAAACTTTTGTTCCTACTGCTGGAATTATGAGGGCATTTGTCCACAATTAATTAGACTGAGATATCCAAATTAATCCGATCTACCCTATCATAAATTCACCAAATGGGTGTTCTCATTCTTAGCGCAGCCTCCCTTCTTTACTTCTGCTTCACAGAGTAAAGACTAAGTATTTCATTTTCTAACTAAACAGGAGTTCAAACTGTGGCCAGATACACTGGGTACAGCCAAGTTAAGTTGTTGTCCTTTAGCTGACCTTCACTGTAGGGTCTCCCCCCTTCACCCTTACCAGAATCTCCTTCAGCCTTCCTGGCATAACAGCATCCATGCTCTGTCCTGAACCCAGTTCTGTCAAAATCTTTTGGTTGAGTTTGAGAACTGACTATTAAAAGTGTTTAAGCTAACCTGAACAGCTTTGACAGAACCAGACTGGTGAACAAGTGTTATGCTGGCAGAGCTGAGGAGGCAGTAAATGACAAAGACTGGAGAAGAGGAAAAGGAAACTGCAAAGAGAACATGAATCACCTGCAGCCAAACAATTCCTCTGGCTGCAATTCAGTAACACATTATTAGTTCATGGGCTTTTGCTACACTGCTCATCATTGCCCAGATACAAGTTTCTGTAGTTGCCCTGCTTCTTGGAAATTTCCATGACAGCACAGGACCCAGTAAGTCATCATCTGTACTGCTAACAGTGGGTAACAAGTTGAAATTCCATTTTGGCTTTCTTTTTTTTTCCAGCTCTGCCTCCATCTCCTGTTTGAAAGCAAGGATTTTAGGTTTCTCTCTACTGATGTATTCATAATGGTACCTGACAGGGTAAAGCCCCAATGCAAAAGTCTGCACACACTCACAAACAGACCAAAACTTCATGAAGGATGAATAAAAAAGGTCCAAGTCACCTTGTATATACAATAACTGAGCTGATGCCTCATTTTGTTTGAGCACATTAGGAAGAGTCTTCTAGGAAGGGAACCACTGTGAAAAAGCTCTCAGTGAGGATCTGGTTTGGATGAGAAGAGCTCAAGGAAGTTAATACCCACTACTGAAAGGAGGCAAGCAGGACAGGACAGAGCAGAGCTGAGAGAAAGGCTGCTGGGGAGAGCTGCTCTATAGGCAAAGTAGGAGCTGGCTTTCATAACCAAAAGAAAGCAGAGAGCAGGAGAAAAGCCCTTTGTGATGCTCCATGGTGAGCCTGTTGAAAAGCCAGCTCTTTCACTCAGCATGCTCCCCTCACCTGTTTCATTCCTTCTATTCGTACATGGCTCTGGAATTGGAGGTAAGAGCTGGAAAACAAACAAAAAATACAATCCGAAAACACATTTTTTCTATATTGAAAATAAAATACTGAAGCCATTGGAGTAGTAAACTGTGAAAACATCCTTCTCACAAAATTCTACCACTTTCTGTAAGTCCAGAGAGACCTCCTCTCTGTACATGAACTCTTACAGTCCTGCATAAAAGCTTTAAGTGATTATTCTGAGAAAGATTTGGCCCAGAAAGCTAACCATGGAGAAGAAAAGATGGGGTCAAGTCCATAAAAACCCACATAGACCAGACTCCATCACATAAGGAAAAAATACTAATTAAAGATCCGGACTGATATGTGCAGCCAGGCAGGATATGCACCTGCTACAGCTTTGGCAACTTCAATAGGGCTGGTTAAAAGGAGATGTTGGCCTTTTTCAGCCTCACTAGCAGTGTAGAGAAAAAAGAGAGCATTTTAAAGTACTTGAATCACCTTACCACTTCTGGAAGCACCCTCTTCGCAAGATCATGGATGGCTTTGATCACAATACATATAGATGACAGGAGGAATATGACACCCAAGATAACACAAGCTCTGAGAAAAAAAGAAAAAAATACAGGGAAATGTTTAGAACACATTTGGAGTTGTCAGCTCTCCCACACTGCTGAAGAGTAACATACAACAGAATATTAATAATAAAAACTTCTGAAGGAGCTAAAGATAGAGGCTTGAATTAAAGAAGAGAATTACATGTCCAGTTCCTCCAAACTGGATTGTATGTGAGAAGACAGAGCATATCAGGTGATGTTTCAAAGTGAAAGAGAAAGACAGGTCTCATCTGATCCTAATGATTTACAGTAGAGTCCTCTAAAAGTCTGTTTGGCTTTGTTTGTTTTACCAGGTTCTTGTATTAGAAATAAGCAAAGGAACTTCATTCTCTCTACTAAACTGAGACAGATATTCAGTACATATGAACAGTGGCATAGAAGAACCTGAAAACATCTGTTTCCTCCCCAAATCTCCAAGAAAAAAAGATTTTAAGTGCAGATATTAACAAAAACATCAGCAGGTTAGGTGCTTCGCTTTGTAGGCAGTCCAAGGGTCTCTTCTCAGTACCTAAATAAGGACCACAGTCTCATCACATTAGGTGGTGGGCAGAGTTAAGAATCTCTATTGCTGCCCTGCAGAGCTTACAATCCAGTCTTATAAAAAGCAATCAAATGGGTTAATGAAGAGAAGATCAAGTAATAGAAAATAATTAACAGAGAATAATTAAGTATTGTATAGGACACAGGCACAATGAAGCTTACAAAACACAAAGCATATCCAGAACCTCACAGTAAGAGAAAACTCTTGCTTTTGTTTAAACATACAAAGATGGGGACAAACTTTTTAGCAGAGTCTGTTGTGACATGACAGGGGGTAATAGTTTTACACTAAAAGAGGGTAGATTCAGACTAGATATAAAGAATAAACCTGATGCAGTTGAAGATATGCCTGCTCACTGCAGGGGTGTTTGACTAGAAGACCTTTAAAGCTCCCTACCAGCCCAAATCATTCTACGATTCTATGATCATTTGGTACCTATCTGTTGGCTCAGTTTATGGATGCTATAATTATTCAGTAGCATGCTACTATTTTCAAAAACTCAGACATCGGGCCATCTGGTGGTTGGCAGCACATGTGATGTTCACATCAAGCTCAATCTAGAGACTGAAGCTGAATTGGCACTGCTCTGTCTGGGTCAAAGATGCAGCTGCAGCAGTGGCACAGGTGAGTAGCTGGTTATTTTATTCCCCAACACAAGCAACACTAAACCTGTGGACAATCTACATCATCCTTCAGACAAGTCCTCAGGAAAGGGGCTGCCCGTCTACAGAGGAGCACAGACAATGTAGAGGCTTGCATCCTTCCTAGCAATGCTACATCTATTTTAAGACTGATGTTTAACTCCTTTGGAATCAACTGCAACACATTCTTGCTAAAGATAGCCTGTTGTAAATAGCAGAAGCAGAAGAGGCTTTAGACAACGTGGAGGAGTCCCTGCCCTAAATTCAAACACAAGAACAAAAATGTGGCCCATAATCTGTGATGAAGGAAGAAATTCAGAGCATGTATTCTCTGCAACAAAGACTGATCATTAAAAGGCAATACAGATGGGAAAGAAGTTCATCTCCCACAAATAATTTTTTAAAAAATTGAAAATTAGAGGGATTTCCATTTTTCATCACATATTTGCAAGCAGGTCGCTGTTCTGCAACAGATTCTTTTCAGAGATTTGCTGTTTCACTCTACCTGAATGGATAACCACACAGAGATCTGCCTGGAGCCTCCTGACCTACTTTAGTCAAACTCGTAACTTTTCAGTACCACCTTTATGGATTACTTTTGTAATATTTAGCACTGCCATAACTTAAGAAACTGATACTGCACAATCCTTCACAACGGATTCCCTTGTAAGGATTATTTTAATTTTGGATGAGGCACAGAATCGTGTATATACTAAAAGCTGTAATCATTTACCTGGGACAAACACAGGTGCTGGGTAACTGGAACATAGAACTGGGCTGCAAAAGTTGGCTGACTTGCCTAAAGATATTTGCTGAGCCAGTGACAGGCTGACATAAGATACACACACTTAGTGCAAGAATAGGCTAACACTTCATCTGAAAGCAACACTGAAAGAAAAGCTTTTCCATCATTCCCAGCAGGCTTAAACCAACATAGCCATAAATCTGCAAGCTGGAAAGAACGGATTAAAACTTCCTTGTGCCAATACATACTTTTCAATACCAAGGGTATGGGAAAGAGAATACAGCAAAGCAACATCACCTTCCCTTAGTATACCTTTTATTCCCTCCATATGTCTTCTGAGAAAGGCAGGCAGACATTCCCTAAGGGCCTGACAGGAGCTTTGCTGGCACAAGTCTAATGTGTCCTGGGAACCAGCACTTGCCCTGACCACTGGCTAGATTTGGTCCTCACATATGTTGGAGAGTTTGGGGTTATCCTGATCTCTGAAACCTCCAGCCATCCAAGCCTATCAGCAAGTATTTTGCATCTCTGGCTGTGCCAGTAGGTAAGTCATGACCTCAGCAATCATGAGCTCCTTCTCCTAGTCCCCAGATCAGTTTTACTGTGTCAAGAGAATTCCCGTACACCTACTTAACCAGAAATAGCTAAAAGTAGAATGAAAAAAGGAAGATGTTAATAACAGTGACAAGGGCATTAATAGCAGACAGAAATGTAGTCTGAGGTTTGAATCAGCATTCAGTCATCGTATTTAGGAAGCCTAGCATCTCCTTTCTATGCTGGCTTTTGGAATCCACAGGCATGCAAAATTCATGAGCAAAGGCATAATACTTAAAGTGCAAAAGTATGTGTTTCCTGTCTTCTTGAGTGTATCACCTTATCTGCAAAACCACTGCAACAAAATACTGCAACAGTGTCTTCTTTCAATCTCATTTGCTAGAAAAATAATTTGCAAATAATGCAAAATTCAACAATATTACAAAATGAGAGACCTCCAGAAAGTAACCTAAAAGTTTAGCTTTAGTACATAATAAACAAATTTTAATTGCTTGTTGCAAGCTTGCTTTATTTTCAAGCCATTTGACAATGAAAACTTGAACACAAACCTGCTGAATTCCATTTGCTAACACTTACTCAACTGCTTTGTAATTAAATAGTGACTCCAACTGCACATGAAGGGTGTTAGTGCCAAGGTTGTTGGCAAATGCAGTTTCATTGATAACATCCAATTGAATTAGATGAGCCAACTGCCATTTCTAAACGAGTTCAAGTAAACTCAGAAGTTCCCAAAAAAATTCAAGAAAGAGGAGTTCTACAGTAGTGAGGTTTAACAGAAAAACCTAGGGAAGATGTTATAGATATCCCTGTCTTGGAATAACCATAGTGTAATAAATGCTCCAGGTCCCCCACGAACTCTGTCAGCAACCCAGACACTGTGGAGTAACTGGTGATCCACCTAACGCCCTCCCATTTCAGAACACTGATACCTTCTTGCTAAGATAGAAGGGTACCCCCTGTCCAGTGACATCCATGGCCACCTATCATCTACCACCAGTTCCAGTTACACCTCCAGCACCTAGAGGAGATCATGCACTTATTTTACAGCCATTTCTGTGTGGATTAGTATAAGAACTTCCCACTATTGCAGATAGAATTTGTCTGTAATGCAAAATACTCGATCACTACAGGTTTGACGGGCAACAGAAAAGACATAATGAAGAAAACATGAATCTGAAATCTCCCTCAGTTCCATGTATCACATTGCTTCTAAAAAGTAAAAAGTACAGGGAAAATTGAGTCAAAACTTTTTAAAACATATTGGAAATCTAAATCTAAAGTTTGGTTCTGAGTGGGCTACAACCTGAAAATTTCAAAAAGACATTTTTCTGAAAGCAGTACTAATACCCAAGTACAACCCATTTATATTTACACAACCCTATAAACACTCCTTTTGCATTACACCAGTCCCAGATATTTGCAGAAACGCCCATGCAAATAAGATCAATGTAACTGTATTACATGACATGGAGCTGCCACCTCATCTTTTCCATCACACATTCCCTGTACAGAGTTCTAATAAATGTAAGCAACTGATAGTCTTTTCCTTAAATAAAAATCTGTTACTTTCCATAAGTTGATGGCTTGAATCAAGTAGCTTTGAAAAGTACTCAGACTCAGGAGGTTCCACAAACTATCAGTTTTCAGGCTGCTAGTACTAAGTTATCTTCCCCTCCCTCTTTTTATCACAAAATTAATTTCCTAAGGAGAAGTTGTCCAAATATTCAATATATTTGCATCTAGCAGACACAGCAAAACAGCCTTATAATTCATGGATTTATCCTTACTTCTGTCCTACATTTTTATTTATTTGTGATAAGACTAAAATTCTACTACATACTACCTCAAAAGAGAACTGGGCTAAGCTCCACAAGGGTGACCAATAACAGAGTTTTCCTCATATCAACTGCTATAAAATAGCCACTGCAAGAAGCTTCCCTTCTTAATTATCATCCTATTATCTTTCTGGGAAATAGAATACAGTGACACAAACTAACAAGGGTTTTTTAATGAAGATCTTGGTAATTACTTCTCGCAAGTCAATCTGCTCTCATATGCAGCAAAGGTGGTGCAACAATATTAAAGATTCAGAAAAAATCAGTGATGCATACAGATACAATCTGCAAAAACATGTTAGCTCACTCAAAGCAGCTCACAGAGACATTGTTATGGAGCAGTGAAGAGGCAGAGGGATCTCACTTACTTGGTACTATGCCTGTTACATCCTGGAACCTATTTTACTATCACTCATCAAGTATATTAAAATAGTCTCTGAAATGTGATGACACCATGTGGAATAAAACAAGATTGTCAGCAGCAGTTGAATTACTTCCCAGTTTTGTTAACATATGATATGCCTAAAATGCAGTATTAAAAACCTAACCTTCTTGTGCAACTACTGTGCAATACTCCCACATTTTTTATTCACTGCTGCACCTCAGATTACTTGATCTTTTCTTATCATATGGGTTATTTGGGTTTTTATTATTTTTACCAATGCAAGA